CGCGCACCCTTTTAAAATTAAAATTTTTCCATGGCGCCCTACCCTAAGTATGACTATTTCTAAGTAAGAGATAAAAATAAATAAAATTCGTGTATCTTCATTATTTTTTTTAACTATATTTACATTAAATTAATATTTAATGATTAATGTGGTGGATGAACCTGCAAATCACTGCATATTTTCTCAAATTGAAGCTTTCACAATATCTCGCGGCGACCCTGTAAAGAGGCCGCGGCGCACAGTTTGGGAATCACTACTCTAAGTCTTCCTACCAATATGACCAAGTTGCGAAAACAAGGTCAAACAACTTCTATACAACGAAAGGAAGACGCGGTCCTACCATTATGACCAAGTTGCGAAAACAAGGTCAAACAACTTCTATACAACGAAAGGAGACTGCGACCTACTACCATTATGACCAAGTTGCGAAAACAAGGTCAAACAACTTCTATACAACGAAAGGAGACTGCGACCACTAACATTATGACCAAGTTGCGAAAACAAGGTCAAACAACTTCTATACAACGAAAGGAGACTGCGACCACACAATGTTCCTTTAAGTCTTCCTACTAATATGACCGAGTTGCGAAAACAAGGTCAAACAACTTCTATACAACGAAAGGAGACTGCGACCACACAAACTTCCTACCAAAATGACCAAGTTGCGAAAACAAGGTCAAACAACTTCTATACAACGAAAGGAGATTGCGACCACACAAAAGGCTGTTGTGAAAGCAAGGTCAAACAACTTCTATACAACGAAAGGAGACTGCGACCACACAAAAGGCCACACCATCTTAGTCTTCATATCTTTAAGTGTTACCTTTAGTTAATATTTCCTTTTTTCTGCTTTCATATTTTCAGTTTGTTCAGCCTAGCTTCACCAGTCTGGCTTATGACGCCGCTGTTTCTAACTCATGTAGTCTCATCGGTGCAGGCACTTGGTCCGCTCTTGCTAGCACGCACAACAGTCCAGTTAGAGGATTTTCTCGGCGAACTGGCCCGATGTCAGGCCTAGC